GGCGCTCCGGGCTGCAGTCCCGGCTCCCGAGGCTCACTCGCGCTCCTAGAAGTCCCCGGTTGGGTCGCCGGGCGGGCGGCTGCACGCGGGGGTCTCGGTGTATGGAGACGTTTTGCTTTCTGAGGAAAGGCCCTGGGAACTCCCGACTAGAGGCAAGAAGGATGAAGGGAAACCGGAGCCTGGGCTCGGGGAAGCTATGGGTCAGGAAGATGCCTGTTGATGGTTTCTGACCTCGCTGTAGTCCGGGGACGGAGACACAGCTCTAGAAACGCACGAGATCACAACTCCCTGGCACCGTCGCCGCTACTTCACGTTGTTTTCCGCGAGAAAAGTGACGCATGACTCGGTGGATATTGGGTTCCAACGCGACCTACCTAATATTGTGTCATCGTCCCAGGTCACCACCCCAGCTCTGTCAGGAATGCCTGGACCTGTCACTCCACTTCTACTTCTTCCTTGGCCTCAGGCTGGCTTCCTGGGGAAAGGACCTATCAATCACTCATTTTATTGGGAAAACGTTTGGACAGACACTTGGAGCGATTTGCATCACACTTGAAAAGCACAAATGGTCATTCCAAAGACAAAGAATACAGCACAGCCCTGGCCGGGTGGCTCAGTTGGTTGGAACGTCATCCTGTGCAGCAAAATGTTGTGGGATCGATTCCCGGTCAGGGTGCATACCCAGGTTGTGGGTTCAATCCCCAACCTCACATGTGGGAGGCAACTAATAGATGTTTCTCTCTCTCTCTCCCTCTCTCTCTCTTTAAAAAAACATATCCTCAGGTGAGGATTAAAAATATATACCAAACAGCTTATATTTGTAGTTATTATTTTTAAAGAAAGAATCTAGCACAGGGCAAAGTGCTTTCCTGTTAACAGAAGAGGCCTCAACTGTACTTCAGGTCCCTTGTTCACCCTCCCTAGGCCATTTTCCTTACTGGTCATTTGGTTCAAAACATTTCCATGTTTTTTCAAAATATTTGAGTTTTAAGCCCATAGCTACTGTGACTTCACTGGCTAATTCCTACTTCTAGTCTGCAAATTCCTCCAGCCGGTCTTCCTCCACAATCTAGACTAGGTTGGGTCAAGATTATGAGAGCTAGGTGCTCCTCCTCAAGAGTATCCAGTACTTGCCTATAGTGGTAGGTTCATTCATTCAACAAGTATTTCCTGTATTGAGTGCCTGTAATGTACCAGGTCCTGTTCTAGTGCTGGGACTATGTGGAAATTCTTAAGAAAGTCCTTGCTCTCCTGGAGCTTAGGTTCTAGTATGGGGATAACAGGAAATGCACAAATTGTATTTTAACATCTGACAGTAAGTGCTATGGAGAAAATTGAGACAAGAGGAGACAGGGGTTGGGACCATGCTGTGTTTATGTGGGGTGATCCAGGAAGACTTCTCCAAGGAGGTGACATTTGAACAGGTCTAGACCAAGCAAGGAGGCGAACCCCTGGGAGCAGAGTGTTCCAGGCGAGGAAACAGCAAGTCCAAGGGTCCTGTGTGACCATCTCCCTGAGAAGGTCTTCCTCACTAAACTCAGGGGTTGGTGGCACTGGGCATGCAGCAGGGGGTTTAACATGTGGGACAGATGGATACAATTGCTCTTCCCACCTATATACAACTTTTTGCATTTGTTATTTCTTTTATCTGGAATGTCCTTTCTGCCTATCCAAGTGCCTCCCTTACGTTAAACATTCCCCCTCCCCAACTTGGCAGCTCTGTTAAACCTGGCTGTCTTGAGCCCCTAGCTTCAGCACAATCCCATGCTAGGGCCAAGGCACCTATGGGCAGTGGATGTAGTGATGTCACTCTCAGGTGGGTTCCTCAGGGTATGAGCACTCCCACTTTGAAATCAGGCAACAACCGCACATTATAAAACAATGTGATCCTATTTTTGGGTCAAGCTCCTTTTTCCTTCAGCCCCCAGGGGAGATAGAAGAGGCAATTTGCCCCATTCCAACTGCCCCCTCCAATGCCTGCAGGCAGAAGACCCTGTGGTGTCCATTTTATGGGATTCTTAATTGTGGCAACTGAGCACATTTGCCATGTATGTCTAGCAGCTCCTTTGAAGACAGCCTTGATTATATATATTTTGTAAATTACATTTCTGCTTCCTTTTTACTGCTAAACAATCCCAAAATACTTGCCCCTTGCCCTGACACAAGTGACAGCCAATCACAATCACTTCTATTTCTATCACAGGTACTGAATATTGACTGAACTTAAATACACAAATTGTAGACTCACCAAGATTTCCTATTTCATTTTTTATTACCAATCAAAAATAAATTCCATATATTGTTTAGCAAATATTATCATTGTTTTGTGACAAAAGACACAAGAGTCAACAACAAAACTCCCCGAGAGTCAAACTCATAACAATGCCAAAATAAATCACAAATATATACAAATTAAAATCTTATGCAAAATAAATATGAGTTGCTTGCTATGGTGGCTGTGACTTGCCTACCCATTTGGAGGCCATTTGCAAAGGTCTCCCTTAGACAGGAAGACATGCAGGGATGGGCCAGTTCCAGGGTAGAGCTCAGTCCAGGAACCAGAAGTTGGAATAGGAAGTGAAAAATTGCACTGGGAGGAGGAAGTCATCGGACCAGTAATATTTGGAAATAATTATGACCCTTTGCAAGAAGTGATTATAAATGGGGAAGGGAAGAGAGGGGCGGGGGGAGGGGCCATCTGTGGATAGTAACCGTGTGTGCAAAGAGGTAGCGTGGAAGTGTGTGCACCCGCTTTTACTTCACACACACTCACTTGGTTCAGGCTTATGTTCTTGGCCCTGCCTGGCATTCGGGTCTCAAGACCACAGCTTTGCAAGCTTCCATGTGAACTCAGAAAGCAAGCTGCTCCTGTAGAAAACTAATGGGTTTCCCCCCAGGGAACAAAGGTCCAGTGTTTTTTTCTTTCTGGCTAAGAACCCATGGGTGTCACCACCTTCTCTCTAAAATTGTAGGAATAAATTCAGTGACTGGCTAGGAGCAGGTACATACTTGGTACAAGACATTTCCAGGTCCCAAGACTTAGGGTTCTCCAGGCACCTGCAGAACAAAGCACTTGAAGAAAGGAGCAAATAGGCAATACTCAGGTGGAAGGCCTGCAGAGTCTCCCTTGCCTGATCTTGGGCCCCAGCAACTGTTCCTCCTGACAAAAGGGCCAACGTGGACCTTGGTCCCGCAGCCTCCCAGCAGTGGGAAGCCTGGAGCTGTGCAGCAGGGCCTGGTTCATTCCCAGGGAAAAGGTGCTGGGGCAGGATTTCCTGTGGGCGTAGAGCTCTGTACCACCAGCTTCAGCACAGGACATCTGCACAGGACATCTCACACATTTCAGACATCTCACACTAGGATTACAGATATGGGGAAACGTGACCACCAGTTGTGTGCCTTTGAGGTGGAAACCTTTCCTGGGTTCTGAAAGTGTATAAACAGGGCAGGTAAGCCTCAGCCATGGAGAAAGGGCGTGAAGAACCTGCTTAGGCTGGCTCTCTACATGTCCTCTGTTCTCAATCCCCAGGAGGCCTTGGGGTTTGGATTAGAAGTAGGGAGTCTGGAAAGCAGAGTTCAAGGGTCAGACTGGACTTTCGCTGTGGGGTGGGAAGGGGCCGGTATTACTTGCTAACAATGCTGATAGCCATGACCAGATTCCCTTCTGGAACCAAAAGGAGTATAGCAGACAAGTCACCTCCAATGTAGATGCTGTCCCAAACCAGGGGAAAGCCTTTGGTAAAAGTGAGGGCAGCCTGGGAAGCAGGGGGAGCAATCTGAAAGGTGGGAGACCCTCTGTCTAACACATTAAGTCAGCCCCATTACAAGGGAACAGTTGTCCAAAGGGGCAGATATGAGGCAAACCAACGGAGACAGAGTTAAGTCTTCAGAGGCCTCAACTTACCAGGAAAGTCCATCAGCTGCGTTCTCAGAAATTCCTGGATCCGGTGAGTGACAGGAGCAGGGCTACTCCTCTGTAACTGGGAGCATCATGTCCCTGATCACAGTTCCCCAGAATCTCTTGGCCTCGGCGATGTCAGACAAACCTCGGTGCACGTGTCCGGGCAGTTGTTCTCAATGCTATTTGGTTCTTTGCTTCCTGGGAAGCACTGTCTTCCTCCCAAGAGAAGACCTTCCTCCAGTAGCTGCTGGGACCTGTCTCTGGAGGACATGGAGCAGGAAGAGTGGCTTCCTGAGTCAGGGACATAGCCAGAAGGTCGTGGCTGGGAGATTATGGCTATTGCTTCCCGGGGTGAGAAACCCTACCCCTTTCAAAGTTTTTGTGGAAAAAAAAATTTTTTTTAAATAAAGTTCCTTAACCCTGTCTTCCCTACCCCATTCCCTTCCCCAAATGATATTTCAAAAGAGGAGCAATAAGCCTAGTTTAGAAAGTTTCTAGTAAAAGAACCACCTTGCTTGTGGTGGTTGTTCACCACCCCACAGTCCAGGGCTGGGCAGCCGCTACTTCCGAGATGCTCACAGGTCCCTGTCAGAGGCCAGCTTCCCCACAGGCTGGGGGCCACCTGGCTGCGCAGTAAGACAGGTTATCTGCACCCTGTCTGGCCTGACAGGCTCCTTCTCTTCAGGTGGGCCCACTGGGGCGGCCCCCGCGGAGCTGGCGGGGGGCCCCGGGCCCTCCTGTCAGATGGCGCTCTCAGGCGAAACTTTGTGCAGCGTGGCATTGCGCTCGTTGAGGAGAGTTGTGGTCTCGTCCACCACAGGCAGCTCAGGCTTCTCTACCAAGTTCTCCGTACAGATGGTGCACCCATCCAGGGGAAACTGAGGGCAGGTCTCCATCCGCGAGGCCAGTAGCCCATTCTGGTACTGTTGCCGGGTGATCTGCAAGAGGAAAGAATGAGGGTCACTAAGAGCAGGGGCTGGGAGGCGAATCCCACCAGTGACCTGGGGAATCAGGGCCAGCAGGACAGAGGCTGCAAGTCCAGAAGCGAGGATGTGAGCAGGGGGAGTCTCCAGAAACTATCAAGACAGTAAGTAGCAAGAGTAAGGAGGAAACTGGTGTCGGGTCTGGGCCCTGTGTTCCAGGTGGTGGAGGAAAGAAAGAGTAGCTGATTTCTGAGACAGTGACCCAAATGTCCAGACCGAGGCCACGGGAAGCACTCACCTTAATGTACTGCAGGTCCATGAGCGCCCGGACACTGAAGTCAGAGATGTACTGGCCTAGGACACAGCTGCCAAGCTGGTTGCTACTGCCTGCCAAGGTGGTTGGGCACGAGAGGTCTGTGTGGTCCGGGTAACTGAGGGAAGCCGAGCGGCTCAGGGTGCCGGGGTGCGATGGGGAGCGGTCTGTGGGGGGAGAGAGGCTGTCAGGCCCCGAGCCACCCTGGACTGTGGTGCCCTCAAAGCCTCCTGTGTAGCCTTGTCCCATGGATGCCCAGCGGTGCTGCCCCCTCCGGGAATGGGAACACTTCTTAAGGACAATCAGAAGCTCTCACCGCGGAAGCTCTGACCTCATCAAAGCAACGAGTTAGTTTGTTTAGCAGTGTTGTGCAATGACTATTAAAAAGTCTACCAAAACAAAACGAAGTCAAAAACCAAAGGCTCAGAAAGTTTATGGCCACAAAACCCAAACAACTGATCAGTGAAGGGCAGCACGATGGTTACCCTCGGGTGGCAGCTGCTCTCTTCGTCTCAGTAACAGCTCATGTCAATGGACACAAACCACATACCTTTAAATTATATTAAAAGAAAATTACACAATTTGCACTCTCATCTCTCTCACACACACACACACACACACACACACACACACACCCTCTCAACATGAAACCTTGCTCATAACTAAAAATGCTCTAAAGAGGTCAAACATTTGCTCTGCACATGACCTGTTCTGTGTGGACAGTGCTCCTCACTGGTGTCTGCTCAGCCCCAGCCAGCCTGACAGGGGGCAGGGGGCAGGAACCAGAGGCCCCAGAACTCCAGGTTTCCCATTCCCAGCTAGGCCCAGTGCCCCTCCCAGGGGCCAAAGCATGGGCGGTGTTGGCGGTGCCTCTTTCCGCCACCAGGGGCAGCAGAGGCCTCATTCCATTGACTGCACCCAGGAAAGCAGGATGACTCAACCTCAAAAGAGGAAGGAACACAGTCCTTATTTTGAAAAAGAAACTGCACACATATTGCGTATCGTTAGCTCTTATTTTTAAAAACACTTAGAAAACAATGAAACCCACAAAGAAGTTAATTGTGACGGCATGCTGGCTTATTTCAAACAAACAGGAAGTAGACTAAGCTGATATGCTTAATTAAGTACTAAGTTACTAACTACTAAGTTAGCCGCTCTAACAAATAGCCCAGTAAAGAAAGCAAACATCAGGCGACCGAATGAATGACCAATGGAGCTTTACCAAGTGAGACTGAATCAGGAATACGCCATCTTTGAGCTTCTGTTAGAAAACAGGGAAAATACAGTCTAACTATTCTAGGATTGGGTAGTGTACAATCATTAGAGGATCATGTGCATGTATCACTCATTCTAAACTAAGTAACACCTCAGATTAAGTTCTAGAAGGAAACAAATGCTGGGGATATCCACCTTTCACATTAAGGGAGGACCTGAGACTTTGCTTCCTAGCAACTGTCATCAGTGTAATTCAAATAAACTCTTCTAAAATTTAAAAAAAACAACGAACCTTCACATTAATTATTTGGATCATAGGATGCTTTTAATTAATGCTTTTTTTTTTTTTCAATCCTCACCCAAGGATATTTTTTCCACTGCTTTTCAGAGAGAGTGGAAGAGGAGAGAGAGAGAAAAAGAGAAAGAAAGACTGATGTGAGAGAGACACATTGATTGGTTGCCTCCCAAAGCACCATGACCAGAGTCAAGGTTCAAGCTGCAACTGAGGTACATGCCCTTGGCCGAAATCGAACCTGGAACCCTTCAATCCACAGACCGATGCTCTCACCACTGAGCCAAACCGGCTAGGGCTAATTAATGCTTATTAACATGCCAGAACAGGAAATTAATTTAAAACCAACACAGATTGGTGACATGGCCCATTGAAAACAGAGCCCCTGCCCTAGCTGGTTTTGCTCCGTGGTTAGAGCGTCAGCCTGTGGACTGAAGGGTCCCAGGTTTGACTCTGGCCAAGGGCACATACCTCGGTTGCAGGCCCCATCCCTGGCCCTGGTCGGGGCATATGTAGGAGGAAATCAATCTATGCATCTCTCTCAAATCGAGGTCTATCTCTCCCTCCCTCTCCCTCCACTCTCTGAAAAGCAATGGAAAAAATATCCTCAGGTGAGGATTAAAAAAAAAAAAAATTGAGGCCCTAAAGAAAAATATAACAAAATATGAAGCATTTGTTTCTGAATAATGAAATTATAATGCTTCTTAATTTTCTTATTTTCCCAATAAGCTATGTTACTTTTATGATTAAAACAAAACAATCTATGTAACAAAAAAGGGATTTTTAATTTGGTAATTCCACTTCTAAAAGAATATTCTAAGGACATAAACTCAAACAGAAAACATTTTTCATAAAGAGGCTTGCATCATGGCATCATTTAGCATATAGACCCCATGAATATGCATGAGTGGAATAACAAATGAGAGCACATCTGCCTGGTGGACTCTGTGTGGCTCTAACTAGAAAGCTTACGGAAAAGCATCTCTGGTCCCATGTTACATGAAACATCAGGATTCAAACCATTTATGCACAAACTCCTGGCCATATGTGAAACAAGAAAGTGCAGAAGGGGAAGGGGGAGGCTGGTCCATCTGTTCTCATCAGACACCCCCTGCTCAAAAGCCATTATTACCGGCCTCCGCTTCCATCACAGCCAAAAGTTGGTTGTGTCTGAAAGGGACCAGTGACTTCTTAGTCACCTTTAACTTTTTTTTTAGAAGAAGATCAATAATAAAGAGTGCTTGGGTGCAGTTTAGAAAAAACTAGATGCAGGAATACAAAGGGGGGAAACAGCTGACTGCAGTGCTAGGTTCTTAGGCCTGTGGAAGCTCAGCAGCTTCTCTAAGTTATGCACTGAGACTAGAGCTCAAAGTCACTTATGCTCTCAACCTCCTCAGGCTCACCAGGCCAGGCCAGGACTCTGGTGACTAGGCCAGTGCCTCCCGCCACCATCTGCTGCCTTGGAACACAGGGGACAGGGCTCCTGCCAGTGAGCAGAAATGAGTCTGGCCAGAACAGTCCCCACCAGTCCTGGGATGGGGACTCAGGAGTATAACATACCAAAGGCCAGAACAGCATATGGCATTTGGCCTTCTAAATATTTAGAATGTCACGTTTTAGTTGTAACAGAGAAAGAACAATAATTGAGGTCTAACTAAACAAGTATATCAGTTCG